GGATGGGATAGATTGTGGTCATTACCTAACCTGAAGGGTGTAGCTTAAAGAAGATTCTTACTGATCTTCTTGCTCCTGTCTTTACCACCTCCTCTGCCAGTTCTATCTTATTTATTTTTTCAACTTTGGCAAACATTTTGGTATCATTTATGCTTAATTAAATAAAACCTACTCATGTTGTGAGCTGGAGAAACAGAGGCCAAATAACAGCAGACTCTCTTGCCAGCCTTTGCTCAACCCTGTTAAGAAGCTCTGGCCCCAGCTCTCAGGCCAGAAAAGGCATCTTTGACAGTGTTAATGGTTTTGACCTCTTGAGTTCTAGCATTTCACTAAGAAGTCCCTACAGTAAGAAGGCAGGGACTGGAAAGCTGGTGCCTAATGCTAAACTTTGACCCCAGAACAGAAAAAGAGAAAGGGTAGAGTAATTCTGCTGAGGCAGGATGATCTGCACACTGCAGAGTGGAGATAAAAAGCAAGAAGAATTCATCATTTCCCTACTGACTAAGAATTATTTGCAGTTCTGTGGCCTGTGGAATAAGAGGGCACAGACCTGGGGCCTGGAGGACAGACGGCAGAACTGCGGGGATTCAGCCCTGGCTGCCTGTGAAGGTGTGAGTAATATGGAGCTTTTATTGGCCTGCTGCTAGCAGGTGGTTAACTAGCTGTCTTGGGTCACAATAGGCCTCTTTGGGGAGCCCTGGAAATAGTTTTCCTCACCTCCAAAAGTATAACAAAGCCCGCCAGGAAATTTTCTGTATTAATCTTATCAGGAAGTCCCGGGAGTGAACTTCACCAGTTTGCCCAAGCGCTAGAGGGAATATTTATATGTTCTCTCCTACCAGCTTGAGTTAATATCACCTAAAGGCCTTTCCCTTTGTTTATATTCTAGGGAAATCATTCCATCATGGAATAAATTATAAAGTATTTCCAATAACTCTTCAGTATTTTTTCAGACTGGAGGAGGTAGAATGTGGGAGAAAGACTGAGAAAGACAAGGCTGACTAGAATGTAGAGGAAAAGTTTTTAATATTTATTCTTTTTTTAAGTTTATTTATTTATTTATTTTGAGTGGGAGAGAGAGAATGAATGAATGAGTGGGGGAGGGGTAGAAAGAGAGGGAGAGAGAGAGAATCCCAAGCAGGCTCTATGCTGTCAGTGCAGAGCCTGATGCGGGGCATGATCTGAACTGAACTACCATGACCTGAGCTGAAATCAGGAGTCAGACACTTAACGAACTGAGCCATTGAGGCATCCTGATAGAAATAACTTCAGTCAAGAGTTTTAAGGTATTTCTTAAAAATTCTTTTTTTTTTTTTAACGTTTATTTATTTTTGAGACAGAGAGAGACAGAGCATAAATGGGGGAGGGTCAGAGAGAGAGGGAGACACAGAATCTGAAACAGGCTCCAGGCTCTGAGCGGTCAGCACAGAGCCCGACGCGGGGCTCGAACTCATGGACCATGAGATCATGACCTGAGCCGAAGTCGGATGCTTAACTGACTGAGCCACCCAGGCACCCCGAGAGTTTTAAGGTATTTCTTTATGAAATCTTTTATTGTTGTTACCAAGAGAAAAGAGCTAACTGGCTAGCAGGTAGAGCTGGGCCTCAGGAATACATTTCTTTCCAGGGTTGTTTATGTCCAACCCTTCAGACACTAACAAGTATAGTATGTAAGGCCTTTCACCAGTGGTTCAGCTCAGATCAGGCCTGAACCCAGCCCAACCCAGGCCTGGTAATATCCAAAGCCCCATTTCCATTAGCAGGTGAAGTCTGCTTGTCTGCTCATTTCTGGTGTTCCTGGGGCCGTATCTCACCCAGCGGTCTACCCACTGAGGCGTTGAGACGCCACTGGGAATGCCCAGGCCAAATGATGATGATACCACCTGGTTTTGAATGTTTCCTCTGAGTTATAGCACTATGTTAAGTATGGTGTAAAATCTGTTAGCATTTAATTTTTGCAACGGCTTTGTGAGGTATTAATCTGGTCTTACAGTTGAGGCTTAGAGAGGTTAAGTGACTTTCCCACAGTCACATGGTAAGATGAAGTGCTGGGTCCTGAAAGCATGTGTAGCTGGTTCCCAAATCTATGCCTTTAAATACTGTGATATATTGCTGGGTGTTTTTCTTGATTTCTTAACTTTATTCTACTTCCTATTAGGGTCTGATCTCTGGCCCTGAACCCAAGACCATTTGGTTAGAGCCCTGCCTAACTTTTGCCACCTCCTTTCCCCAGGAGAGGATACCACCAGGGGCCAAGCATTCTTTCAAACTAGACTGACCTCCATAGAATCATGATTTGTTCACATGACTGATGAGGAGAAATGATTATATCAGCCCAGAAGCATCTGATGCCACCCTTCACCCACTAGATTAAAACTCTTGGGTAATAATGCTGGCCCAGATCAGACCCAAGTTTTTTAGACATTGTAAAAACTGTGGGCCAACTTGAGGAAGCCAACACTATAGTCAGATGGACTCCCAGCCTTGCCCTCCTAATGTACTTTCTCCCTAACCCTTTGCATACTTCACTGTAAAGCTCACATAGGTTAGAGTAGACTTTAAGCTTTGATAATTTAGAAACTCAATTTATCATCTCAGTTAAGGCAAGTCAGTTTTGGAAAAACTGGCTCATTCTAAAAATCTCAGAAAAAAAATTATGAACGATAATGTCAGTTTATTCATTTAAAAAGTTTTGTCTTTTTTCCTTGTCATCTCTTCTTGTTCCAGGGCACCCCATCTCAATATTAAAATTCAAAGCCAGACCAGTCATCAGAAGGCGCTTGACAAACCCAGAATTATAACAAAGGAAATTGAATTGCTTTAAATGATATTTCATTCAAACCCATTTCTGACTTCTCCTTTTTTTTTTTAATGTTTATTTATTTATTTTTAGAGAGAGAGAGAGAGAGAGAGAGAGAGCAAGTGGGGAAGGTGCACAGAGACAGAATCCGAAGTAGGCTCCAGGCTCTGAGCTGTCAGCACAGAGCTGGATGGGGGCTTGAACCTGTGAACCGTGAGATCATGACCTGAGCCAAAGTCATGTGCTCTACGAACTGAACCACCCAGGTGTCCCTATTTCTGACTTCTTATTCTTTTCCATGAGCAGAATCCTCCTCCCTGCCAGCAAATCTGAAGACCTGGGTTCAAGTCCAGGCTCTGCTATTTATTTTCACTGTGGTCCTTGACAAGGCATTTAACCTCTTCATGCTCCTGTTTCATCATCAGTAAAATGGGAGTAATAATATCTTCTAAAATTCACAATGTTTAAATGGAGGTTATAGATAAGAATGCTCTGCATATATTATTTTGTGTTATGTAGAGCTGTCAAGTTGATTTTTAAATTTGAAACCTTGTGAAGCCATTTCCTTGCAAGTCACCTATATGATCATTTATCCTAAGCTGCCACTTTTCTAGGGAAGGGTGTGGTTGCTTCACAAACTTAAAAGTACAAAAAGTACAAAAAGTCCTGGGTGGGCCTGAGTTTCTGCATTTCTAACACATACTCAAGTGATACAGATGCTGCTGGCTATACTTCAAGGCAAAGTTAGATGTCTGGTGCAGGTTTCTATGCAGTTACTTTGTGTGTTCATTGCAGGTGACTATTCAACACCGTTGAACTTCCATGTTCTTTCTTTTCCTTTGCTTTTCCTGGCTTTACTCTCTTTTAATTCTTTTTCTACATTTCTGACTACTCCTCCTCTGTCTCTTCCATGGATTCCCCTTGATTTATCCTTTAATGTTGGTGTTTTCTTGGGTTCCATTATTTGCCTTGTGATCAGTTTGTTCTCTGTGGATAATCTCAAGAGTTGTCTCCTGTATGAACTCTCCCTATCTTACATAGGCAGACTAAATGGATCCTTATCCTACACTCCCATTACGTTTTGTAAGATTTACCTTAGCATATGATAGTTTTATTTTACTGCATTATTATGCAATTATTTTTGTATGGTCTACCCTTACTTTTTGAGAGCACAGTGCTCCTTTCCATTGTTGCATCCCTTGTGCCTAGCATAGTGCTCAGATTCTATAAATGTTTTACTAATAAACAAAGGCAAACCTAGACTTTGGGGCAGACATCAGAAACAGCCATCTGAGCAGGCCAGATGGCAAATGTTAGTATTTGGACACCCTGTGGAAACACAAAGCAAACTTAAATTCTGTTGTGTATGTGTATATGTGTATAAATTACCTTTCTGGATAGTCTCAAGATACCAATAGCATCTGGGGAAGACACCTGAGCCGTGTTTCCTCTGTAAATTATTTCTGGGCTCCTTTTTCAGACTTAAGCAATAGGCTGTCAAAATTGTCAAAAAGAGGAAGCATGTTTCTTGTGGGCAAGATTATTTATCATGTTTTTCTATTGTAATAAACAAAGCGAGCTCCTTCAGAAAAGGAAGCCTGTAGTATTGCCAAAATTGTGGTTTCCAAGAAAAGTTTCACCTCAAAGAGGTGACTCAAAGAGGCCTCAAAGAGGACTCAGAAGATCAGGTAAATGACTGCTAGCAGGTGAGATATCCTCAGCTCAGATCTCACGTGGATTGGATTCAATCCAATCCAACAAAAAAAATTCAGTAGATGTTTTTTTGTGTATCAGGCTTGTACTAGGTTAGAGATAGAAAGATAAAAAAGACATGGCCCCTGTCTTCAGGGAGCTCATAGTCCAGTTGAGGCATTAGACATTGAAATAAATAAAGACAACTCGATGTGATCATTATTTAATAAATATATACAAAGTACCATGGATTGGAGAGGACAGACTAGTTGGAAATATAGAAGAAAATAATATTTTGAGAAGGTTCTTCATCCCAAAATGCATATTATCTCTTGAACACCCATCAAAATTCAAAGTGCAATTATTACCCATCCCTGTTCATGTACAAAAATAAGATTAAAGTTAATGTTTTCAGTGCATATGATGTGTCCACCATGCCTCAAGAAAGTTTTATTGCAGGGTTCTATATATAAATAAGATTTAAAGGAATGGAAAATGACAAGGTCATTAGAGGTGCAAGCAACGTGTGATGGAGTTATAGAGGGAACAGAAATAAAATATTACTGAGGGACATGGAAGCCCTTACAGGGCATACTGTACTTGGATGTTTCAGTTGGCACCTCCCTGTAGTGACTGTGGGCTCTTCACCTGTGTTTGTATGGGATTCTGGATCTCCTTGTTAAATTTTATAGAACCAAGGGTCTTAGGGGAGATGGCACAATGGGTATGTCATTAAGTTTTCCTGGGAGTCTAGAATTGAGAGCAACTTAATGGTAGCTTTGTTGCTGGGCAGACATAAAGGTGCAGCCATGTTTGGATTCTGAGAGCAGATGAGTAAAGCTCAGTAGGAGAGAGGAGGGGGAAAAGAGGAAGGGAAAAGAGGATGGAGGGGGTAAGAGAGAGAAAAAGAGAGAGAAATGGAGGGGGAGTGTAGGAGGAGGAGGAGAAAAAGAGAGAAGAGGCAGAGGAGGAGGAAGAGGAGGAGCAGAAGGAAAGGGAAGAAAAGAGAGGGAAAAGAAGGGTAGGAAGGTAGAGGGAAAGGAAGGGTAGAAGAGACAAAGTAAACAGACACACTGGTGAGTAGGGATGGGTGTGTTGTTGAGGAGTCTTTGGTTGC